ATGAGTGTTTTGAGCGACGGTTGCTCCATGATCCTCCTTCAAAATTCTTCCCGTCTTCGTTCATCGATGTCATCTGCATTGGAAATATTTGCACTTACAGAATAATCATTATGAATAAGGAAAGATACTTTGCATTGACCTCAAACAGTTGTCGCTGCACAAAACAAGGTCATCGCGTTGGAATTGTTGTGGCAGAATTTGATTGCTGTATAATACAATTCCGAAAAGGGTGCGAGAACTTCTCGCGGGTACGTTCTCTTTCCACAATACCTGCGACCATAAATATACAGTTATTCTCGAGGATAATGTTCCAGTCTTCCGGTGGGGCATCCACACCTCTGACACTGAGTACCGCACTGTCAAAGATCACTTTAGATGTGAAGAAAATAAAACCCATATCATGCCATATATTTCTTCCCCATACCATGTTACTTGGCGGTCATCCAGTCGTCACAAATGGTTGAACCATTCTGCAACACAGGAAAATCTAGTTTAAATATATATAAATGAAAGCTCAGTGACAACTAAATAATGTACTAATACGTATAAAAGAAATACGATTAGCTCTTCTTCAAGACATATTTAAAGCCTACTCATCTTCATCACCGGGAAGTGAAAGGCATACCAAGGCCTTCTCTCTGGCCGATTTAGGAATGTGCACTCCATTTTCCAAACAAAATGTCTTTGATGTCCAGCTTACATAACATAGTCTACATTCTGCCACTGCTGTGATGTTGTGTTGTCTTTCTTCCACGTCTTCTTCCATGCGTTCGAATATTGCACAGAAAGACGTTTGACAACAGGTTGTGACACCCAATATTCAATAAGAATATGATTGAAAGTTGGCTACTTCACATCGTTGTCTACATTGGAAATGACTTTACCCATCCATACGGGAACTCCCTCATTGACCTTTTTCGACATCCACAACTGGGTTGAGCCCCGCCTTTGGACGCTCATTGGCTGGTCCAACGAACAACGGCTCCTTATTCCCATTGCTCTTCAAGAGGAAGGTCAATATCAATATCATCAAGATCATCCTTTTTAATTATGTCATGTGAGGGCCAGAAGCCAGCCTTGAGTGATGTTTTTGCAAACCCGGACCCATAATTTTCCTCGATTGTCTCGAAGAAAGTTTTCCGGTATAAAATAACACTCTCATTTGAGAAACTAACCTCATCTTTCATTCCCAACCACTCGTGCTGCTTGTTCTCCAACCACCCAACAAACGTCTTCACACCTTCAATTCCTGTTTCGAAATCCGAATTCCTATCTTTAATAGCCAGAGCAGCTGGCGGCGGAACAGGTGATGAATCGAATGGTCATTTGGGTCCAATATATGCTTTGTTTCCATCTCGTTTAAAGCAATAGACTGGAGCAGACAATTTAGGAGAAGTGCAATACTCTTTCCACTGGAACACAAAATTGTCATCGTGCATGTAAAACCTAAATGCATGTGGACGAGTATGACCGGTCAGTGTCTTGACCAGGAAGCGCTTAACAGCACCTCGCCAATCACTAATTTCATCCATGAATGTGCACGACGGATGTTCTTTTTCGGAACTGGCAACGAGCTTGAAGAGGTCGAGCATGGTATAAGCATTGTGCATTTTCAGTTTGCGAGAGAAATGACTGAAAGTGGCATCAACGTCCATATGTGTGTGTCCCACTAACATAAAACCGAATTCGACTTCTTTGAAGAAGCCAAATTTCACCAAAGCTGCAACAAGTGCCAAAATATATCTGTTGTTGTTTTCTCTCCAACAGTTGTCTGCTTGTATCCTCAGTTTAGGAGGCAAGTCGCTTATCGCCTAGATGTCACACATAACTTTCATAATGGATGACACCACAACATTCGAATCGTGTGGATCGCAAGGGTACCATGTGTGAACATGGACCGATGGTGAACGGTCGTGTGCAATAATAGCTGTTAAATTAGTTTTCAACGTCGAAATATTTGCGAATGCCTTCGATTTGTTCTCTCCGCCAAAGTGTGGAATACTGGTCTTGCTTTGGTCCATGCCGTCAATGATGATGCATAAACTGTTGGAACCTGGTCTCTTCGACTCATCCTTCTACACCTCATACGCAACACGATGTTCGAGTTGCAAGTTTAAGTGTTTCTCGCGTAGCGAAATAAAGTACTCACGCACACGTACGGACTTTGCAGAATTGATTGATTCTTTGTATTCGACACATTTCTCGCATTTCGCAAAATTTTGATCAATGTCAAGGAATTTCACATGCCAGAACTGCGTTCTCCACATATTGTAGAAAACTTGGAGAGAAACACAAGAAGCACCCATGTTGTCGAATTGCGACTTTAACAACTTATAAATATCAACCTTGTTATAGCAAGCACACAATCTCAACACCACTCTCGATTCCCCCTCTTTGATCTTCATGTCATTGGGCATGGAATCTCCGTTGTCTCGCACGAAGGAGCTTAATTTTCCGTACATCGTCGCATATGTTGCTGATGTGCGTCTGAGTCTAGTACTGCCATGCTTCGACATAGTGTAGCCTTTTGACAAAATCATCTTTTTTTTGAGAAATGTATTCCTACATACACTTAGTGCAAAACACTAGGCACTAATGCACACCTTTCTTTTCCCCACAATAGGTTGAACAATCTCCTTCTCATCTTCTATGAAGGTGAACCTCTTCAACGTTTCAACCCACCATGCATCCCTGTTTTTCTGGTCCTTAGAGTAGTATGCGCTCCGGACAACTTTGATGTCTTCCAGGGTCATTTGAGCGCAACACTGTCACTTACAACAAACTTGTCCACGCACACTAGCCAATGCTTTTTTTGGTGAGTTTTTTATGAACTGATTGCAAAATCTTCTTTGACTGTGACATTCTGACACGAAAAGGATAAGGACGCTTCTTTGAGGACAGACGTTTCGGAAAAATGTCATCGAAATCAGAGATCACATCACAATTCTCATCGCCATTTCGACAATAGTGGTCAGTGTTCCGGTCAGTGTACGTTTGCGGATGACCGATTTTATCTGAAAAACTATCAGCGCTAGACGATACTGAAGCACTTGAATCTGAACCATCTTCATCACTCTCACCAAACAGTAGACCCGTGTACTCGAAATCTCGAAGTGCACTTCTCGACACCAATACAACACAGACTACATTGGATGTGTTGTTATCAACAGAGGAGGCCTTACCTTCCTGACCTTCCGCACTGTCTGCATCAGAGGTTCGAACCGGGCAGCGCAGGACCGGATACGCATTTTCACATGTAGTGTCCGCACACGCAATAATCCGTGACCTCTTATGAGTACGAGATTCCTGAGTATTATTGACACGTTCGTGACCACTTTGAATATCTTGCGAACACATTGGCAGGTGCGGTGGAGGAAAATCCTCATTGAACATTGTATTAGATGCCACACAGTCCATGCTTTCCAAGGTTGTGTTGCAAGCCTGCCGTGGTATAGCATGCACACCACAAGCCATGTACGAAACGTGTCTGCGAGAACAAAACAGCGGACCAATGTCAAAGACGCAAATCAGAGGTTAATGAAAGGGAAGAGACAACCAGCCCTACATAAACGACAGCGAGAAACACAGCCCTAAGAACGAAACCGAGAAACACAGCCCTACACGGGACGGAGGGGAACAGGAAACATTCGAGCGGGGATAACACACTACCTTGGAATGTGAATAGGAAACAAAGACCGGGTTCGAAGCATAATAAATTGTTGATGGGTGAGGACTCAACAGTCCAGTCATCGGGGCAATCTGTGCCAAAGGCGCAATACACGCAAAAGAGTTTGGCGAAGTCAGAGATCGAACGAGAGTGGGAAACGTAGCACATGTCAAGTTGGGCACCAGTATCGGAAAGACAGAGATCATGACGCGCAAAACACAGCGTGCACCAGCAGTGAAAAGGTGGAGATCCTGACGCGCAAAAGGAAACGTAGCACATGTGACGTCGGGCACCAGTATCGGAAAGGCAGAGATCACGACGCACAAAACACAGCGGGTACCAACAACGAAAAGGCGGAGATCCTGACGCGCAAAACACAACTTGACATGAGAGCATTGATAGGAAACATTAAGAACAGCACATGTTTGCAAAACATAGAACCAATGTTGTTCCAGGAACTTCAGCGACGACACACGAGGAAGTCCCATAACCCATAACGAGCAGGAAAACCACCGTGGCAACGAGACCGTCTCGTCCAACACGAAAGGGACCCCACTCTTGATTTCCGGGTACTAGACTCCGCGGATTCAAAGCAAAATTTGCGCAGAGTTCGAACATGATGTCGGTCGAGGAACTCTAGTGACGACATACGATGGGCTCCTAGAACCTTAGACTGAGCAGGCAAATGACTATGGCAACGCTACCGTTGTGTCCAACACGAGAGGGACTCCATTTCATATCATCACAATCTCCCAATTTACAATCAGTGTAATAAAATACAAAAGACAGTCACCCGGATACTATGTTCTGCGGGTGCAACTCGCACTGGACTGTTTGCCACGCGTGCAAGTCGGAACACTTCTCTCGAACGTGAGTGACTGTGGCCGATTGCCCACGAGCAGGAGTGCGCCCCAAGGTGGTGGTCTGACCCGACCCGTGCCGACGGGACGATGTCGACACGGAAGAGAAGGGCTGTCCGGGAGAGTGGCCACCGCAGCGACCGGCGTGGCATCGAACAGGACGACAGTAGTTTTTCCTGCGGTCCCGTCGTGTCGAACACGGACGCTGTGCGAGTCGTGTCCCACAGGACTTGGGGACAGTTTGATTGTGACCGCCACGACGACGATCGGGTGTACACGACGACGATCGGGTTCGACACGATGACGACACGGAAATGAAGAAGACGGCCGTGTCCGACGGTTGTTTCTGCCGCGGGACGTGGCACCTATATCGACGGTGGGGTAGATCGTACCTCCCGCGGTTGTATCGACGCTCGTCTCTTCCACGGTGGTATCGGTTGTCCGTGGTCTCGTGTTGTCGAACACGACTCCTGCGGTTGTATCGACGCTCGTTTTTTCCACAGTGGCATCGAATGTCCGTGGTCTCGTGTTGTCGAACACGACAGTAAACAGTCCGCAACAGCACAGCATATGCCGAGCACGGCACACGCTGTGCTTTGCGCCGACCGCAGTTAGCCTGCAGCGTCCGTTGTCGTGCCGAACACGAAGTAGTGTTTTTCTTTCCTGGAACCCGGGAGCCGCAGCGCCGCTGTCGTGACAAACACGACCACGATGCTGTTTTCCGCGGCTCCGTCATGTCGAACACGGACGCTGTGCCCTTCTCGACCCCACGACAGCGGCGCTGCGGCTCCCGGGTTCCAGGAAAGAAAAACACTACTTCGTGTTCGGCACGACAACGATGCTGTCTTCCGCGGCTCCGTCGTGTCGAACACGGATGCTGTGCCCTACTCGACCCCACTTGGGGATCGCGTCGTCGACGACGGTTATCTCTTCTCGGAACCTGCAGCGTAGGTGCTGGACACGACCACGCTCGTGTTGGACACGACGACACCCGTGTTGGACTCGACGATGACTGTGTCGACGACGACCGTGTCGGATAGGACGACGATTGTGTCGGACACAACGACGACCGTGTTCGAGACGACGACGGTCATGCTCCACCTGACGACGATGGCGTTCGACACGACGAGGATCGTGTTCAACACGAGCGTCGTCGTGCCCGACACGACGATGACAATGTTGGACAGAACGACGATCGTGTCGAACACCTCGACGATCGTGTCGGACACGATGACGATAGTGCTCGACACGATGATGATCGTGTCCGACACCTCGGCGGTCGTGCGCGACACGATGGCGGGCGTGCTCGATACGACGACGATCGTGTTCGACACGATGACGATCGTGCTCGACACGACGACGATCGCGTTCGACACGACGACGACCGTGGTCGACACGACGACGATCTTGCTCGACACGACGACCTGCACAAATAAACGCCATAAAGAACTGTTGGAGGAAATTTGTTGATGTCACCAAAAAACTAACACAGGACAGGGCGGGCCACTGAGGCTTTTTTCTTTGTTTCTCCARGGGGGGGGGGGGGTTGGGGGAGGATTGTGGGGGGAGCCAGGTTGGTGGAAGTGGCACTAACCTGGAGAGAGGGCCAGTTGTCGTGTTAACGCTGGCGGACTGCTGCGCTGATTCTCCCAGAACGTGAACAACGGAGCGCTGACAAAGGTTGCGGCTACTCAGGTGCGGAAACGCTCTTGTGGGGAAGAGGGATGGCATTGTACTCTGGCGCGAAACTTTATCCCCTCGCCTTCGCTTTGCCCAGGGGGGAAAAACGATCGTGGCCGATGGCCTGCCGACAGTTTGACGGCTAAGATTCACCCGGGGGAAAATAGGGCGGTCCACTGGCCGCACCACCGGATCCCCGCCTGCAGCCAGCCGATCATCCCGACCGTCCCCATTCCCGAATTGGACGGCCACCAGGCGCGTCCGGAGGGCCCACCACTTCCCATTTTCAGTTTCGTTCGGTTTTGGGTGGGCAACCCAGCAACAGCGCCGCGCAGCGGACGTCCGTTGACGCAGCAACAGCCCAACGCAGCGGAGGCTCGTGCACAACAGACTACGTGCACGGCGGTGGCGGAGCGCAGGGATTCGTTGATGCATCGGAGGTCCGTGCATAGCAGACCACCTGCGAGACGCGACGGCGGACCACAACGAAGGTGCCGACGGTCGCAGGTCGCGACGACAGAGGCGAGCAGACGACCCCAGAACGTGACGCGCAACCACAGCGGAGCACCCCGAGTCCGCAGGATCAGACGGTGAGGACACAACCATCAAGCCCCGATGCAACCACGTAACGCCACGTGGCACTTTCGGTTGATAGGGGTCGTGTCGAACACGACGACAGGAGGAGCACCGTCGAGTCGAACACGACAACGGACCGGAGCAGGAGTCATCTCGGACACGGCGATCGGGCCGGTCGTCGAATCGAACTCAACGCCTGAGCGAATCGTCGTGCCGAAGACGACGATTGGAGGAGCACCGTCGAGTCGAACACGACAACGGACCTGGAACAGGAGTCGTCTCCGACACGGCGATCGGGTCGGTTGTCGAATCGAACTCGATGACCGAGCGAATCGTCCTGTCGAAGACGACGACAAGAGGAGCACTGTCGAGTCGAACACGACAACGGACCGGAGCAGGAGTCGTCTCAGACACGACGATCTGGCCGGTCGTCGAATCGAACTCGACGACCGAGCGAATCGTCGTGCCGAAGACGACGACTGGAGGAGCACCGTCGAGTCGAACACGGCAACGGACCGGAGCAGGAGTCGTCTCGGACACAAGGATCTGGCCGGTCGTCGAATCGAACTCGACAACCGAGCGAATTGTCGTGCCGAACACGACCGTCGAGTCCGACACAATCGTCGAGTCCAACACGATCATGCCCTGTTGTCGAGTCGAACACGATTGTCCCTGCCGCGTCGAGTCAAACACGATTGTCCGATGAGATCCTCAAGTCGAAGACGATCGTGCCCTGTCGTTGAGTCGAACACGATCGACGAGTCGAACACGAATGTCGAGTCCGACACGATCGTCCAGTCCGACACGATCGTCCAGTCCGACACGATCGTTGAGTCCAACACGATTGTGCCCTGTCGTCGAGTCGAACACGGTCGTGCCCTGTCGTCGAGCCGAACACAATCGTGCCCTGTCGTGGAGTCCGACACGATCGTCGTCGAGCCCGACACGGTCTTCGAGTCCAACACGATCGCGCCCTGTCGTGGAGTCGAACACGATCGTGCCCTGCCATCGAGTCGAACACGATCGTGCCTTGTCGTCGAGTCGAACAGGATCGTGCCCTCTCGTCGAGTCGAACACGACTGTCGTGTGTGACACGATCGTCGAGTCCGACACGACCCTGGGCTGTTTGTGTCGTGTGCGGCGTGTGTGGGGAGGCGTCGAATGTGTGCGTGTCCTAGGCTGCTTGTGTGTGTGGATTGTGTGCATAGATTGTGTGCATGGATTGCATGCGTGGATTGTGTGCATGGATTGTGCGCATAGATTTTGTGCAGTGCAATGTCGTGCGGCCTGGATTGTTTGCATTGTTGGGGCGAGGACAATTGTTCCATGTTATTGTTGATCGTTCCACTTATGCCGTGCAGGGCGCTTCACTGTCGCTTTGAAGATCTCTCATTGGATGACCCCAGCACTTTGGCGTGCACGAAAGGCACACCCTTTCCCACCTTGCGCGCTACACGTCCGACGATGTCTGGGCAGCACAACCTTTGACGGCGCTAGTCTCGAAGACATCGAGTCCGATCCTTGGATGACAGTCGTCCTGTTTGTCGACAAACATTTGGACTTCTGGGAGGAGTATGAGTGAGAGAACATGACGAAGAAGTGCCTGTGGGCGGGCGATTATAAGTTCGCCAATACGTTGGAATTCGGAAAACGTATTGTTGTGCCGTCCGATGTGTTGGGTCCCGTGCATTTGCGTCATTTGTGTAAGAAGTTGAAATTTAGCCACCTTTTCGGTGTTTTAGATTGCGAATACGTGACAACCTCGCCGCGCACATGGTGTCATGTTGTGAAGCAGGAGTTGCTCGACTGTGCGCGACATTCGCGGTTCCTCGATCAGTATCCATTGCGATCTCCGGGTCTGTCGCCTCAAGCAGTGTCATACTGTTGTGTGAGATTGCGCTTGGGATACTTCATCTTCTGTAGGGTCCTCTGCATTGCCTGTTCGGACAGGGCGCGCAACTTGACAGACATTGTCGTGTATGTGTCCAGGAACGAGTTGGCTATGTCCGGAAGGGACATGAGTTTAGTTCAAAGAGAGGTCGATGGGAAACTGGATATCGTGGTCGGTGGCAAGGTGGAGGACGTGGGCGCTTGGCGCGAGGTCGAGACTAAAATGATTTATATTCGGGATGCTATAGGCGGTTCTCTCATCGGAAATTCCGGGTTCGTGCGCATGCCATACATTTCTGTGTTTGCTGATAACTCTACCGTCGACGAGCTGCAGCGGCTGGCCTTCGGATCGACACTTGGCATATTGAATGGCCGCAACAGCGGGAGAGTTTGCCATAGCCGATAGACAACCTTCGTCGGTCCCCTTTGTCGTTCAATGTTTTCCGACGTGTGATACTTTCGCAAATTGTCGACACTGTCGTCGTTGCTACGTGTTCTCCTGTTTGTCCGGCGCTTCCGGCGCCGTGTTTCTCGAGAAAAGTACAAAGTGTCCGATTGCTGTTTTTATGGACTTCCAATTGAGCGAAAAGTACGAAGTGTCCGATTGGTGTTCTCATGTTGTGTTTTCTTGAGAAAAAAACGCATTATGTGCTTGTTGTTCTCATGTTGTGTTTTGTCGCGAAAAATACGCAGTGTGTCATTGTTGTCCTGATCTTGTCTTCGATATCCTGAAATCCGGGAACGACGACACATGAACGAGCAACAAACCAGTACGGAGTGTCTAATTGCTGTTCTGTTTTTTTGGTTGAGCGTTCAACAATGACACATTGTTCGGACTGCGTCTACATGGACTTCGCATTAGCGAAAAGTACAAAGTGTCAGAATGCTGTTCTCATGTTATGTTTCCTTGCGAAAAACTTGTTGTTCTCATGTTGTGATTTCTTGCGAACAATACCCAGTATCTGCTTGTTGTTCTCATGTTGTGGGCGCGATACACGAACGACGGAACATAAACCCCCGGCCTGTGAGCCTTGGGGAACTACACTTGCGACCGACGAGACGGAACCAACCACGAGTTGAAGGGGCAGTGTCGTGCTCACGCGATATCGGCCTGCATTCGTCGTCGTGTCCGACTCGATCGTGCAGGTTGTTCTCCCACCAACATCTCTCGTCTTCTGTTCTCGTGTTCGATTACTCGATGACCGTGTCATGACATCCGCTTCCGACCGTCGAGTCGGACACGACGACGAGTTGGAGGACTGTGTCGCTGTTGTGCGATGTTGCCCCGCTTTCATGCTTGTGTCCGATGAGGACGTGCAGGTCGTTCACCCGCGACATGTGTCGCCCGCTGTTTGTCGTGCCGGGCTCGACGATTGTGTCATGACGTCCGCTTCCGACCGTCAAGTTCGACACGACAACGACACTGTGATCTGTCGTCCGCTGTTTGTCGTGTTCGACACGACAGCGACACTGTGATCTATCGTCCGCTGTTTGTCGTGTTCGACACGATAGTCGCCGGACGATGCGTGTGTCTTTCGGCGACCTCATGAGGTGCGGTTCCTTCCGTCGAGTCGAACACGACGATGAGTTGAAGGGACACTGTCGCCGTCGCGCTGTATTGCCTTGCTATTGTCCTTGTATCCGACTCTGTCCGTCGAGTTCGACACGATGGTCGTCCAGTGTCCCGCTTCTGTTGTTGCATGTTCTTGTCTATTGCTGTTTTCGATTCCTATGGTGTTCGCGCATCGACAAGGCAATGACTCCGTTTGCATTTGTGCGTTTTCTTTCAGCTGCGACTGGCCGCTCAAGATGGATCGGGAGGGGAAGCCGAACAAACAACGTGCTAGTAGAAGTTCCGGGAGCATGGAGCAATCTCCGAAAAAAACGAAGGGGACACCGACCGCTGGCATAGGGACTGATGAGACACCAGGGTCTACGGGCCAACGAGCCCCGGTGCTGCGGGGTGCGCCTTCTACGGGCACTCCTTCCACTCGTGTTCGCAGTTCTGGACCGGATGTGGCTGTGTTGATGAGTGGCGGGCCTGCGGGTCAGGAGGAGGTGACTGGTGGTCGGCAGGGGAAATCTGCGATAGACGTTGTGCCCAGGCGTAAAAGGTCTGGTGAAACATCCGTAGTAGGTGTGGGGGACGAGGTGCCCGTCGTCGACCACAAAGACAAGTGCTGGATGTTGGACTGGGTGGGTGGAATCGGGGAACCCTCGAGTGGACTGGTTCTGTACGTGGGGATCAAAGATAACATTGTGCCGATTGGCGGTGTGGTGAAGTGGAGTGGACGAGGTTCACCGTTTGTCATGTTGAAGTTGACGATGGTCCTTAAAGCTAAAGGTGAGCGGATGATATATGTCAAACGCGTTGCTCTACGTTGGGCCAAACACGCTGGGTACGGTAAGACGCTTTATGATATTTTCAATCCGCCGGGGACGAAGAAATCGAAGTTGTGGGACCTTCCATCGGTTTTCGCATTCTTCGATAGTAATGTGGTCGCAGGGCAGGAGCCGGTGGCGCATCCCGACGACCGCATATCTGAGCCGAAAAGTGTGCTTTCGTCATCCTTGGAGGCGGCTCCCTCGTCGAGACCACTCACTATAGGTGTCCGCCCTCCGCAATCCCTTCGGACTCCGATTGCTGCAACGCGAGTTCCGAAATCTGGGCAGATCGGGGAGAAAGGTCCGTGTCGCGGCCAAATCGTGCCGTCAGCCCCTATGAAGTCCAGAACAACATCAACCAAGGAACCCTTTTCCTTGGTCCACCCACCACATTATGACTTCACCATTCCAAGCCGGCTGCAATATTTTGGAGATGACGACGAGGAGAACAGCGAGGAAGATTCAGAGCGCGACGAAGAACGTGAAGAATATGAGGAGGGTGGCGATGACAGAGGAGAGCGTGGGGAAGAACCTCAAGTAGAGAGTGAGCAGACAATCAGCGAGAGGGGTGGCGAATTAGAGGGTGGGCTAGGGATTGAATATATGGATGAAGGGCAAGAAGAGGAAACGACCGGCAAGGGAGGGTATGTAGATGTTCATCGGGGTCGCAAACGAAAGCAACAGCTCCCGCCAGGACATGGACATTGGGATGTGGATCGAGGGCGCGGGGGAATGCACCACAAAATGACGGTCGTGACGGGACATGCCGGTGCAACACGGCTGGCTGAGAAGAAGAGGAAGATCAAGCAAAAGAGGAGAAGTGCTTTGGACAGTAAGAGAACCAAGCAGGAGGGGGGTCACAAACGCAAGTTGAAACTGTTGCCAATGGATGAGGCGATCCAGCGTACGCGAGAGGCTGAGGAGGCCATGAAGAAAAAACGACAGCCAAGGAAAAAAGCAGCGAAGGGAGGTGTGATGGAAAAAACTTTCGTTTCCCCAGCGGACCACCCACAATCAGATGAAGACGCTGTGGGCAAGACAGTCACCAAACCGCCAAGTTTGCAGATTCTGCCGCTTGGGAACTCTTCTGGTCATCTGGGCAAAGGCTTCTTCCTTGAGTTCGGCGAGAATGGTAACCAGAGGCCGGACATGCAGTTCATTTTTGTCAAGTTTGACAGGATTCTGGATATCCCTGACGAGGAGTTCAGATATAATCAACGTTTTCTCGGTCAACAACATGTTGATGACATTTACGATGCAATGGTTGAATAGAGTGAGGCAGCCATCAGAGAGAGAACGACCGGAGCAGTCGGGGTGAATGTATGTATGTTATATGAGAAGCCTGCCTTTTTGTTGGTTGGGCTACATGATACAATGCATACTGACGCTTCCGGAACAAATGCGAGAGCAAGAAGAGTGACGCCCGATAAATTCGATCTCCAATCCGTGCGCAAGTACTACGGATACCCTCTCAATGGTTAACATAATGTTGCGGCGGCAAGGAAATATTTTCAAGAGCGCCCTAACATCGTCCGTGAGGTCCGTTTGGATTACTGGACTGCAAGGTCTGTTTGCTATCCGGATAGGAGCATGGAGAATTACGGCACCTTGAGCACTTTCCAAAATGCGAAGAACAAATGGAATACTCCTCCACACTAGATTGCTGTCATTCAGGACATACGAAATTGCTGGCATCCGGTCGTCCTGATGCTATAGGCGGATTTGCTGCAGACGTAAAAAATGTGGAGTACGGAAAGTTTGCGGGGAAGGCTCTACGCTCGACCGGAATTGATCATTTGGTTACTATGTCGCTTAAGCAATGGACCAGGGAGTGATCCGACTTCCTTGGGCCTTACATGATATTGGCAAAGGCGACAGAAGAAGTCTTCGACAAGGTGCGACAAATGTATTCTGGTTGGGAAAGTGGACAGTTGCCGGGGAGAAATGCTGTGATACCTGCCACCAAACAAGGTGAATCGGGGAAAGCGCCAAGACCTGGACCCGGATTCGAGTTGAAAAATGGAGTCAGGGTTCCAGTGCACTGGATTCAGAGTACTAAAGGACTTGGTTACCTCATGGTTGTGCACGATCCGGATATCAAATCATGGAAGGCTATGTCTACGTTGGGGAGGCGTGAGCGGCTTCAACTGTTGCGAGACATTCTCGCGGGCAGTGTCGTGCTGGCTCCAAAGCTCAGTAAAACTGCTCAAAGTGCGGAGAAACATTCGATGGAGACATACGTGGAAATGGTGAAGCTGGAAAGAGCAATGTTAAAAATATTTCACTACTTTGTCTTCATTTCTGACCCTCACAAGAAGCCGTCAGAGTGGAAGAAACCATTCTTCGACAACCTTTCTGATATGTTCAATAAGTATCATGATCAAGGATTGACATCCGAGAGGTGGATCGACCAGCGACAGCATTTCAAAGACATGAACTGGGTGTGGTCATTTCCGACTACACTTGGAGGAGAGGACGAGAAAGGAGAAGAGGGCTTCAAGAAAACAAAATCGCTTGCAGAGAAATGCCCCGAAGAGTTTATTCAATTTGTCAACAAGTTGTTGCGCCGATCCGAAACTGAGGGTTCGCAAAGCATTCGTATGTCGGGACAAGCGAAATATATACATTTCCAGAAACAGGACGTGGAGTCTGTTTTCGTACCTTTCCAATGGGAACCGAGCGATGTTTCAGACGAGATGGATTGCAAGGAGATGTATAGAGTCGTCAGACATCTGACGTGCCACACATCCGTCCTGGATTTGTGCTTCGTTCCACGCGCTTGTGAGTTCATATTCTTCAAGCGAGTCGCGAGGTGGGACATTCACTTGTCTCTTCTGAAATGGACTCGTCAACAACAAACAAAGGGGAAATTGTCATATAAGGTTGCAAACTTGTTTTTGAAGGACACAAACAGAATGTTGGTCATCATGTACTCCAACGACGGGGATTATCATCGCAACACTATTCCCTTGTTTGAAGATATTCAAGCTGCAGGTCCATCATCTGGTGAACAGGTGGCTGACATATCGACACTTGTCCGGAGAGAGAAAAAAACGAAGATGTTGACTGATGTCGTGGAGAAGATTTTTCCGCCAACAAAGTGAAAAATGGCAGGTATGGAACCAAAGGAGAAAGTTGTCTATGATGGTATGGAAAGGAAGCTGAATGCTATGGTGAAAATATTGGAGCACTTTTGTCCTGCCGATGAGGCTGTCGTTTTCCTGGGAAAAGGTCATGCGACGTTGGTTTGGGAGTTGTTAAAGAGTCACCGTCATTGCATTGTGCTGGAAGGGGAGGGTATGAAGTTCGAGTTCCTCATTCAGTTCATCAACAAGATGGTCGTAACTCGAGATAACTTCGCCAAATTCGTTAAGCCGCCTCCTCGACATGATGAAGACCGTGATCTCGTCTACAAAGTTGGCCAAAACATCGTCAATATTTGAAAGTTTCTTTTTGAAACAAAGCCGCAATACAGAGGGGAACGTGCTTATGTCTTCAGAAGAAGAAAAGTGGAGACGCTTTTGAGGGGTTATCATAAGGCGCCATCGGAGACGGAAGTTGCATTTTTTGACCGTTTGGAGACAATGTACTTCGACCAACAAATCGGGGCAATTACTATCGCAGGTTATGCGACTTGTTTTGAGAATGATGAGGAGTTTGATGCCGAGGACTCAGAAGAAGAAAGTGTTGATGACACTTTGCAAGCGACTTTGGCAGATGAGAGGCAAATAACTTGTAGCTCGGCTTCGCAGAGGATGGGTGTTCCAGGCACATCGTTCGGTTATGGAGGAGCTTCAAGTATGGCGGTTTCAACAGATCCGTTAACGACTCGTCCGTCGACTTCTTCTATTGTTACACCTACTCAGATGGCAGGCAATACGATGACGGTGCCATCCAAAGGCATTCTGGATCCGAAGGTTCAAGCAATGCTCTCCTCAGAGTTGTTGGCAAGTCTGTTACCATTTGCAAACAACCCAAGTACTGTTATGGAATTGCTACGCTCTCAAACTCCACAACAACCTCCATCTAATGAGCCTTTGGAGTACGAGATTGGAGACAGAATCCCTGCGGACATTGCGCAGCTTCCGGGGCCTATAGTATGCCGAGACGATCATATAGTGACAGATGATGACACATGGGGTGATCACCTTATATGGCACTCCAAGCACTTCCAACCTGCATTGGCGAGAGGGAAGTGGGTTATGGCTATAAAAGAAGAAGGGGGGTGGCAGTTTTGCCTCCATAGATGTATGTCAGAATCGAGCTTTCTCAAACACGCCAATAATCAGATTGGCAAGCGACTCCTGCAACTTAATCTGAAGGTTTCTCAATCAAGACTAGATGTAAGAAGAGAAAAAATTTTCCAAGAGTTCAAAACATCGCAGTGGCTTGAGTATCTGGAAGAGTTCTATGATAGAGAAACCAACCCGACTTATGGATATAATTGGCATGTCGAAGAAGATCTTGAGCACAGAGAAGGGGAAAGGAAAGGACCAAGCGGCGGTGGTGCGCATGGCAAGGGATCCGGATCAAGCGGAGGTGCGCACGACAAAGGATTGGGATCGAGGAGCGGTGCAAGTGGCAAGGGTCCAGGACCAAGCGACGTTGCAAGAGGCAAGGACGCAAGTCGTGGGGAACTGCAAAAAACCGAAAGGTCTCAGGGGCGTCAAGCAACAGATGGCAAGGGATCATGATCAAGCGGCGGTGGGCATGGAAAGGGATCGGGATTGAGCGCCGGCGCAAGTGCCGAGGGTCCGGCAATAAGCGTCGGTGCAAGCGGCAAGGGCATAAGTCATGGTGAACTGCGAAAACCCAAAATGTCTCACGGGCCTAAAGAAACAGAGTGCAAGGGATCAGGATCGAGCGGCGGTGCGCATGGCAAGGCTTAGGGACCAAGCGGCGGTGGTTCAACTGTCGAAGGGTCCCACGGTCGAGTCGAACACGACAGTGGCCCAACATTGGAGCGCTCCCGACTTGACCAAGCGAAGAAACTCACGGTTGAGTCGAACCCGACAGTGGGATCGGGATCGATCGCCGGTGCAACTGGCAAGGCTTCGAGACCAAGCAGGGGTAGTTCAACTGTCGGCGGCGTTTCACCTTTCAAAGGGTCACACGGTCGTGTCGAACACGACACTCGTCCAGCATTGCAGAGCTCCCGACTTGACCAAGCGAAGAAACTCACAGTCGAGTCCAACCCGACAGTGAGATTGGGATCAATCGCCGGTACAAGTGGCAAGACTTCGGGACCAACCGGTGGTGGTTCAACTGCCCGTGTTGTTTCACCTGTCAAAGGGTCACACGGTCGAGTCGAACACGACAGTGGTCCACTAATGGAGCGCTCCCTACTTGACCAAGTGAAGAAACTCGTAGTCGAGTCTAACCCGACACTGCAATGGGGATCGATCGTTCGTGGTCGAGTCCAACCCGACACTGCAATGGGGATCGATCGCCGGTGCAAGTGCCAAAACTTCGGGACGAAAAGGCGGTGTGAGTGGCAAGGGCGTGAGTACAGCTGACCAAGTTTGGGCGACCACGATGTTAGTGGGCGACAGTGTCACTATGGAAGTGGATATTACTGGTATACTCAAGGAATTACAGATGTCGTCGTCGACGATGCCAGCCGAAGTAAATACTTTGTCAGAGGAAGTTGAAGAACTTTTTTTGGATACGAAGATTGGAAATGCGACTGCAGGTGCAAGCGACACTTTTGAGGGCGTAAAGGAGGAAGAAACTCTCCATGTAGAGGGCATCGAAGAGGATGAAGGACATATAGTACTAAGTACACCGGAGCAATGTACACTTGTACAACCTCAACAAACGCTTGAACAATCTCAAACACCACAGTCTGCTAACCTCGTGATAGCTATCGAGGAATCTTCTATTATGCCATCGCATACGGAAGGTGTGACGGAAGGTCGTGTTGAAGAGAAACTGAGAGTTAGCCATCGAGGTGAATATTTTCTTATCTTACAACAGAAAAATTCCTACGAGAAATGAAAGTTGAAAAAATATTTCATAAAAAAAAATTCCTTCCTATTTATAAATTATCATTCCAATATTTGTCGAATTCTAAAATTTTCAATTTAATTTAATAAGTTTCCGTCTAAGTATGAGTTTTCCCTTCCAACTACATCTATTTGTTTAAGATGGAATGAAAGTCGGGACGAGTTTATGAAATGTTTTAATTAGACTTTCGTTCTTCTACAACAAATATCTTCTAATTTAGATTGGATTAACCTATTTATGACTGGAAATCCTTACTTAGAATGACAGTCCAATTAAAATATTTCATGAACTCATCCAGACTTTCATTCCATCTCTAGCATGCATTTCAAATAAGAAGAGATACCCCATTCTTGGAAGGAAAGTTTTCAAGTAAGATGAAAAATTTTAAAATTGGAATGACATTTTTTTAAATGGAATGAAAATTTTAAGTTTATAATGT